TTAATATGTGCCAACTCTCACGAGTGTTTCGTTATTTTAACAGAAAATACATACCCATGGTGTTATATGTATTATGTTATATATATTCATACATTCAAATGCAATACACGTATATAGCTCAATAATACTATAAAGAGACGTATGAAGATGTACGTCCCCTTCCGTGTGTGGTTAAATAATTGAATTAACTCAACTATAAGGCTACGCTGCGTTCATGGCCGACATTAGAATTACAACTAAACCTGTAGGCCTTGTGTATAGATTTTAACAAAATAATAATGATAATAAATGCAATCTGTATATTAAATCTTGAGCTTGAATAAATCTTCAATCAAAATACACTTTATTTTAAATTGGCACAATTTGCATATGCCTTCAATCAACTTTCAAATGAATAATAAATTCAAGTAAAATCATGAATGATACAGAGTTTATCATACTTTTATAATATTTACATTATATTATTTTATTCGATATTTTTTTTAAAATGATCGGATATATGTATATATTCTTGAATATTATTTCTTAGAAGTTTTAAATTATTTGAATCCTAAAATTTATTCAATTAATTGAAAATTATAGGCTTCTAAAAAAAAATTGTATCAATATTGAACTTGTACTATAAGAAATGCAATTGAACCTGAAAAATTATACTGGCTATGAAAGCCAGAACTGAATTGAATAACAGTTGTTAATATATTCATGACACGCGCACTGTAATGAGGTCGTAATATTTCGTTGCCAGGCAGCATTGCTTCGCAGTCACCAAGTACAATAGACTTTATGAAGACCACGGGTAATTCACGGTTGGTAGACCAAATGGCTGCACATATACTCTGATGGGTAGACCGATGAATGCATGAACGGACGAACGAACAAATCGATTCCCGCATACATATGTATGTTACAATACTGTGCACTGGGTGTAACTTCATACGTTTTATCTGCGACTTATCCAGGAAGCAAAATGTTACTAATATACGACGAAAATGTAGTGACATATTGGATTTTGCCTGTTTCTAATAAAGATTTGAATTTACGATAGCACGCATTAAACAGTAAATGTTAACGTGCGGACTCTGTTATTCTAATTGTTTAATACAGCGAGAGTGGTGAAACGCTGAGAGCGCGATCAACGGCTATTGTGACGGTATTTTGGTGATTAACCAGATACGACGTAAAATTGCGACGTTTGCTTCGATGGGTCCGTAATTTGGTGGTAGGTGGATCGGTCTCGGAAAAGCATGAAAGGGACGTTAGGTGGACGAGGGATGGTTCGGTCAGGTAGCAGAGTAGTCCATGGTCCTAGCCAAGTGAGGGATAGGAGTGCTCAGCACGGATCAAACAGCGAAGTGATTGGGAGCCCTAGCCCTGGTTGAACAAACGGGCGAACGAACACCCATCCCCAAACGAACAGTGGAAAATTGGCGAGAGAAGCTGCTGCTTGACGAACGGACGAAATCGATGCTGGTTCAGATGTATTTATTTCGGCGAGTATCGCCTAGTTGGCCTATATTCGTCTAAATTCCGTCTACTCCCGACTGCCTTTTAAAAAAATTACCCTATTCTTAAGGGGGAATGGAACTTTTTTATATGTCAGTATATCACACGGACAAGAGCTGGAAGCGAGGAAACTTTGCACCCAAAAATTTGAACCTTCCCAAGAAAATAACTTTCCCTGCGCAGCTCGATTTTTGAAACATTACTTAGAAAATATATAAAACAGAAGTGAATATCGGTAGTGACAGCCTAGAGACGTGTCACGGAGCCACGACAATACCTTTGCCGTTCCCTACCCACCAGTTATCGCACTGTTGCACATCAAAACCACAGACGAAAATCGGAAAAAGGAGCACGTAGGCAAAGTTTTACACGTATTAACTTTACACCTTAGCATTGGGACTTGCTACCGTACAACGAATTTTGAAATTTTTGGGTGTGAATTTGGGAAGATGTCAATACGCCGACTTGCCTTGCCTATAAATTCAATCTTTCACCACGGCGAGTGCTAAAAGCAGCACAGCTAGTGCAAACGTGCACCAGTCGTGCCCACTCCTCTCAATCTATAGTCAATTAGATGGTCTTTATACATATTAATTGTAAATTTCCATATTAATGCACACGCCACTACGTTTTCTCAGCCACAATGTCAAATATCTAGCGCCCAAAGCAGATTTTAAGTACAGTAGGAAAAAGTGTATGAGAAATCTTTTCACTTCCACGTAGCCAGCTGTTAAGCATCACTGAAGCGCGACGTCACAAAAGCGTGCAAAAGTATTGTCGCGTGTTTCCACGACCTGCTACAACCCACGGCACCATCGTCAATTCGAACTTCGGCGATCAGTTCCAATCCTCCTTAATAGGAGCAATTACCAGTACTGTCTTCTGTCACTCATCAGTTATCACATACCAAGTCTTAACACACTGTGGCTCAGTAACCCAACTTCTTTCTCCTTTTACTTGGAGATACTTTGACTTCAGTATTCTTCAACATTCTTAACAAACAACACGAGACAGTACAGCGTCACAACACCTTGATAAATATATGTATAACGTCACATATTAACATCTCTGACCATTTCAAACATAACAAAGATTATAGACTAAATTTTTAAATAATAAATCTTTCTTCGTTTTTCTTCCTAACATTTAATACCAATTCACATATTGCATAAATTATTGATCTATCTTTACTAAATACTAAATTCCCTATACCATAGGGAGGAAGAACTTGTAGAGATTTTAATGCTCGGCAGAATTTATCCGTTTCTTCCTTGAACTTTGTACAGCCCAGCAACACATGGTTGACATATTGTTCTGCATAGCCACACCCGCAAGCCGAACTGTTAAAACTTCTTATTCTGTGTAGATGAGCGTTCATACAGCAATGACCTGATTCCAGTCTATTAATAATGCAAACTCTTTCCCTATCTAACTTCAGTTTAATGAGCCAAGGATCTTCCAGTTGAAACTCCCAACTGTTAAAGAAGTATTTCTCTTTAACCGGAGCCTCACTCTTCATTCTGCTCCATGCTTCACTATTTGACTTTTGAATTAAGGATTTCGAACAGTCCTGCCACATGCTTTGTCTAATAAGATGAGCACCAACCGCCCCACTCTTAGTCAATCCGTCTGCCCAGTCATTACCGACCAAACCCACATGAGCCGGAATGCAAATAATTTTTTCAGATTGGCCACTATCATTCAATTTCACTAACGTAATTTTAATACCCCTTACGATTGAATGAAGATTCTTGTAATATCCAGACTTCTTCAATTATTCACTACGTAAAGGGAGTAACTGAAAATCGCTACCCATTGACAACCATGTCTTTCTGTAATTTCCACAACACTCAGTAATGCCATTGCTTCCACATAAAATATTGAGGATTTATCGTGTAGTTTATTGTCCAACGCCCCTTCATTCTCAAGTTCAATTATTCCAATTCCAGTCTTCCTACTAATCAGGTCCTTAGACCCAACCGTGAACACTCAAAACTGTTGGTTATAAACGTCCTTTGGTATCTGGTCCAGCGCACTCTGCGGGTATGAAGCATTTCTTATTTCAAATCCAGATACATTATCTATCTCCGCACAATGATATTCCCAATCCATAAGAATATTATCCGGCTTCCAAATTTAATTAGGTTATTGTAGATATATCATCCAGCTCCCTTCTAAATAGCAGATAGTACGTGTATTTGAATTGGTGATAAAATATAGTATACATATTTTGGAGTATTACAATTATTTCCCCAGTAAGCTCTAAAAGAGAATTAGCCGGTGATGACATAATCGAACACATCGCAACCCTGAGTGCCTGTCGATCTTAAATAGCATGGATCTCGTTGTGTTCCCATAAAGCGATGGTCCTCGCTGACTAGACCGGCAGACTTCTCGTGCATTACGTAAACCGAAAACCGAAGACCTTTGTCCCGGAGAAAATTAAACACGTATCCCCACTGCAAGGAAGGGTCTAAAGCATAAGGGATGCAGAAGACAGCCCTCTCCTCTGTATTTCGTTCACGAGGCTCTTCTAAAAATTTGGTGAAATTTACATGTTTAGACTCCAGTTTCCAAAAAACACAGATCATTGTAGAAATAAAAAATAAAAAGAAATACAATACAACCAGATTTTTATTTTAAATCAGTTGCAATCATTTCAAAACCAATCGACGGAGTTCACATTACTCCTCCGACGCATTTTACAGATGGGGGAAAAAAGCACGCGAAGAAGAAAGACTTATAAAAGTTATAAAAAGAGATCTTTTCAAAGTATACCGGAAACGAACAGGTTAGAAGGATAATGGAGCAGCGAATTCATCACGAGTTTATCCTTATCGCTGGAGATATGCACATCTAAACTCAAATTATTACTTATTTTTTAGTTACCATTAAATTTTATTCACAGATTAACGTTTCATGTTGTTCACTACGAGCATAAGTGACAGATGTATTTTGCTGCAATATTAACTTTTCCGTAATATTGTTATCAGACGTGTCGTAATTTGTGGCAGGTCATCGAGGGGCAGAGAGGGTTGTACAATAAAAGAAAGATGCAGTTAAGTTAAAGTTTTTGCATGTAATATTATAATGAGACAATTTACTTGAAGTTACTGATACGGTAACTGAAATATAATCCTACTTTTCCCGAACGATGTATAATAATAAAAAGAAAAAGTCATAGGAAGAAACAGAAATCTAAATTTAATTTTGAATTTTGGAATCGGTCAGCTAAATAAAAATTTTGACTAACGAAACTCATGAAACTCATGGATCGTAGGAAGCAGGTTAAATAAGCGGAACCTAAGTTAGTATCATAGTTTAAATAAACATCAGATTCGAATCAATAACGATGAGATAGTGGTTTAAATGCGGTCCACCAGTAGCTACGAGATGGATAACAGATTTTTCATAAGCTGTCACACACGTGAGTAGAGAAGATATCTCTTTTACTGGAGACTTTGATACGATATATTATTAATAAAACGAAAACTTACCTCTCATCGATTTCATCCTGATGACCATGATGTTGTAGTTCCGCCACTTGATCCGTATTTTTATCATCGATGTCAACGTGAAGATGAGCAACGTCAATAGTAGATTCTGTTGTTTCAACTTCACTGCATACTTGTGTCACTATATCCTCTCGCTTTTCTTTCTCTGCGAGCGTGTTAGAGTCTTTGATAATTTCATTAGACTTCGATTCTGCAACCTCATCACTTCCCACACTTGCACTGCACTTGATTCTACTTATTGTTTCCACTTTTCGCGAACCGTCACTCCCAATTCTTGTCATAGACCGTTTTTCCTTTGTAAGCTCCGTGTTAATGTTCGCACAAGTATCTGACTCCGACTGCTTTGGTAGTTTCGATAAATCCAGTAGAATTTCTGGTTTAATGTTCTTCTCAGATATTTTGTTTTCCTCTTCCTCGACGGCTGTTAAAGTATTCTCGGAAATCGACTTTGAGAGTACCGACAGCTGAAGTCGACCTTGATCTGGCTCTTCAGTCGAGTGAGTCTTCTCTCTTGACGCTTTCGGCCTGCTTTCAGTTTTATCTGTCAGCCTCTCTATCTCGGGAGGTGAGCTCACTACCACTCTCGACTCGAACACCTTCTCAACGAGGCTCGCGGTTATTTCCTCCACGTCAATTATTTTCGCCGTAACTAGCTGTACATCCGGTAAAACTGATATTTCCTCCTGAGGTATTTCGTACAAAACCTGTATATCTTCCTGTATTTTGACTTCCTTCTTCGAAGTATGAACAAGAGAGATTGGTTCAAATCTTTTCTTATCACATGATTCTGTCGTACTTGGTTTCTTTATCACGTTATATATTTTTGGTTCCTTTATTATCTCACTGGACTTGCTTGTATGCTTACTGTGTGCATCTGTAGATTCCAATTGCTTTGAACCTTCTAATATATCTAACTTATTTTCTTCCCCTAAAACTACATCTATCGATGTAAACCTATCAATTTCCAAAGATCCTTGTAAAACACTGCCGACATTCTCCTGTTTCGTAAGACTTTTTCTTCTTTCTGAAGATGCTGAAGGTCGCGGCTCAATAAACAAGGAATGTTTAATAGTACTAACGGCATGAACATCTGTAGCAGGTAGACTTACTATTTTTTCACTGCTCTTTTGTTTAACTAATCTGTCCCTACTTTTTAAATTCTTTCTGGCTTCATTGCGTTTTGGAATCTCATCGTCGAAAGATGAATTTTCAATAACAGCATGCTTTGTTAAGTATTCCGTTACCCTTTCGATACTCTTCTGCTCCTTTAAACTCTTTCTTCTTTCCTTAGATAATTTTCTGGCATTTGCCTCTATTTCCTTATCGGTAAGAGCCATTTCAGATGATGAACCCCCTAGAAGTTCCTTATTTACTTTCATATTGGTTTCGTCTTCGAGATTCACGCTTTTTCCTACAATTACAGAGACCGCTCCTGTTTCTCCGGTTATCGTTTCCCGATTTACTTCGACGTTGGGTTCCTTCTCCTTTACTAAACTTCCTTGCCATTTCACATTCGCCATTATTTCATGAGGAAAATTCTTTTGAGAGCTTTCGGGTCCCGTATCATAAATCATTATTTCTTCCATTATTTTCACGTTACTAATTTCCTTTTGTGAATGATCCGGTTCGACAATCTCCTTAACTTCTGATTGCATTTTGACGCCTTCCACGGTTTCTTCAACCCGCTTCCCTGGATGGTGTTCAGCATGTCTAGGACTTGCCAATGTGGCAATGCTCGAGACGTGCTCACGTTCAAATGGTAAACTGGCGAACCGTTCCTTCAGCGCATTTACATCCACGTTAGGTACTATACCATCGTTCGGAGAAATTGTTGCTTCTCCCTCTTCTTCTTGCTTTTCAATAACTGATTGAGGTACAACTGCATTTGGACTGCTTTTACCCGATGCACAAAAATCGTCTTTTGTTCTAGGCTTCTCCTTTTTCTTCTTTTTCGGACTATGAACTGGTGTAATCGGAGATGCATCTTCGAAATCTTCTAAAGAGTCACTATTATCTGCCTCCGGTTTATTCATCGACGCTCTGCTCACACCTGCGTATCAAATTCGTTATATTATTTAGCTGTATTATGTATGATGGCGATATTCATTTAATAAATGAATAATACGGACGTTATATTTAAGCCAAATGTTTATCAAAGTACGGTCATTTGTATGATATTAATTTTACAGATAATTTCAACAAGAATTTTTGTTGATAAATCAAAATAATATCTTATAAAGGAGACAAAAGTAAAGAAGTTTGTATTTTCGCGATTGCTGATGCTACATGCATAATATATACACTGTAATATGGTATTTCAGGCCTGTCACGAATATGCGTCCAGTTCAGTTACATCAATGCGTTCACAAACGGCGATCTCGAGAACATTGCATTGGATTGCGTGTATACTGTTTTGTTGATTTCACCCAAGGGTGGATGCTTTTCTTTTTTGATTCTTTCAACGAATTCACAAGGGTTCATTTAAAAATTAAATATCTATCCGACTAGAAATTAATGTAGGGTCCTAAAGACTATCCGATCAGGCTTACCCGACTTCGTGATGGAGTCCAGTAAATTCCGGCCCCCATCAGGGCGTGATCAGGTTGCCTGACTGCCTCAATAGGGCACTTTTAGGGCAGCCTGATCACGCCCTGACTCGAATTGTAACGGTGTGTCACATATGGCCCTCATCAGGATGCCTGACCGGGCCGTTTTAATGTTGCCCTAATTACTTTTTATATATTTTCTTTTTGTTACGGGAAGGTTAGTACATTGCAAAGCCGTGAATATATTTTATTGTCTTTTTGTTTATTGATTGGGATTTTAAATATTATCGTTATATATATAGAAACACTTAAAAGTAATAATAATATTTCGCGCTTATATGTGAGTGTATGTTTTATAACATTACTTCTTCTTTGGTATCAATATATATATATATATATATGGAAGCAGGGGTCTTTAATATTACACGAACTTAATGTAAATATACAGGGTGTAACTTTATTGTAGCACACGGTTATTACAGTTCGACGCGAAATTAACACCTGAGTAAAAAGGTCTCTTGTTCAAAATTCTATAAAGTTTGGAACTTATCGGGTCAGTGACCCACTTTTGCTTGCGGGTATCCCTATCCCTCTGGTGGCCGGTGGTTGTATTACATGTATATAGTTTCATATTAGGGCGATTTCAGTGTTGCCTGATTTCACACCTAATACGGCAGCTCTGAATAACGCCTGACTACGGCCAAGTCAGATTTTCCGTAATAGGGCTTGCCATGAAATTGCCTGATGCGGGCTAAGTCAGGCTTTCCGTAATAGGGCTAGCTGTGACATTGCCTGATCGGGGCCTGATCCTGGTCAGGCAAGCCCTAAGAAATTTCTACGCGGGAAGAGCATAACAGACTGCAGTACGCACTGGCCAGGTCCTACTATATTGGAAAATGGCCGAGTCTTCGCCGTCGTAGAAGATTCGTATTGTAGAATACGAGGCGGATCTAATATCCAACTGCAACATCCGAAACATCTATATCTATGTAAACGCTATGTCCTCTGACGTAAATAAGACGCACCACAACTGAAGTAAATTCAACGATTCCGACGGGAATGAAGACCGAATTTGGTGATGATCTTCCAATTGAAAAGCACGATGCGAATTGTCGTTTCCATTTCGGGAACTCCATAGCGTCACTCGTGAAGTAGCTAAGACTAGGGAAAGAACGTGTTTTGAATTGGTTCAGTTTTTAGTTTACGACTTCTAATTTGTTGTTCTGAAGATCCAGGACATCTGAATTTCAGATTTTTTTGGAGCAACTGCAAGATGGTGAGTGATGCTTTTGGTTTCAGTGAATTTTCAACATAGGGAGATAGACCGATTCTTGTTGTCGTTTTGTTACACGTTACCTTACGCATTCCCGATGAATTGTGGATCCGAGGATTGCTAACCCGGTGGCAAACTAGAGAAGCAGTCATATCTCTTATCATTTTTATTTTGCGTTACCATTGATTTAGTTCACGCCACTTAAAATCGTTTCTTTAGCTCAAGGATAGCGTGAGTCCGTTAACTCTGGCTAACTTAAATTTTGTATAGCCTCGTTCTGCTTTTAGAATCGTTTAGTTCATTTAACTTGTGTCAGAGGACAATAATCATCGAAAATTTTACAATTAGCAATGGTGTTTTGTCAAAAAGAATTTAAGGTAACAGATTTTGAACTGTCGCAGCCTTGTGTCTTCGATTCACGCCCTTGTCGATATAATTTTTATTATACCTAACATCCATTCTACTTACAGTTTTTTAATATGGAACAGGGGTGCTGTTATTTGCCCAGCAATTTCTGAAGAATCAATACATACACCGCCGTCGGAAAGTTTTCGGACAATGTTATAAGTTGGGGAGAACTGAAGTAAAACGCAGAACCGTTTGAGGTATGTTTTCGGTTGTACAGTACGCATAGGAGTGGGGTATACTTTGTAATATAGACAAATGTTAAATACAATTTAGTTGAACGCTGCCCGAGAAAAACTCGCGCAAAAGGGTTTGAGTGTAGTTATAGGCCTTGTACGGAAACTTGACGACAGTGTATATATTTATATTTAAAAGACCTCATCATAAAATGTAGATTTAAATATAAGTTTATGATGTTATTTAATCAGTATTTCAAGAGGATTATTCTCAATCGGCATTTTAATTCAATATAATTGGTATATAATATTTAACCATTTGAGTGAGCCATACAGTGCGCTCACGCTGCTTACATTCTATGTCGAAAACTCTTACGGTATCAGGCCGTAAGACCCATAGCAATGTGACGATTATCGATAATTCTATCGCAATTACTATTTCATAAGATGATCGTAAGAGGCGTGGAAATCGTACACATTATTGCCACTAAAAATATAACGATTATGAAAGGTCGGAAGTGACGCACTTTGATTCAATATTTCGTCACATCTGCTTTATTTATACGGGGATAGAGTAATAATCTAACAGAGAGAACGTAAAATTTTCTGGCTACTTCATTGGCACATTTCATCATCGGAAATCTTCGGAATTGAATCATAATGTCAAATAATACATACTTTACATTTTTACAATTACATAATAATTATCAATTTGAAAACTAATTTGAAAAATAATTAAATTATAACCTATTCTCATCTTTTCAACGCTGACGTTTACTCGTTCCTTTTTTTTTTCTTGTGAATTATAAGAAGTAATTACCACATTAATTACGAATTGAATGATAACTATTTTACGTCTAGAATTAAGTCAAAAGTATAAGAAAACCATAATTAGTGTGTTTATATATAATTAGACGTTTCCGTGGTATAATATTACGTCTTGATTCCATACGGGAAATTACCCTTCAACGCACGGAATTTCGATAAACATCTATTTCTCTACCAAATATCTATTATTAGAAGTCTTGAAATAGAATTCGCTTTCTGGAGTAACGTCACAAGTATTATGTCGAAGATTGAATGATAATTTATGGCTCACGTTTGAGGTATCGTAGAATCCATGTGATGTGGCGCATAAAGAGCTGATGATCGGAGTTGAAATTTTAATCCTATAGAGACTGTAAGTAGATCCTAACGTAAATATTTTGCAGTTTTAATGTTGTATATTGAGCCTAGGTATCTTTATTTGTACCGATTTTGAACCTACGAAATCCTATTCCGTTTTTTGATGCCTTTCAGCCTCGTTAGCACTTCCAGGTCTTGTGCATTTCATTTGGGCTAAGAAAGAATAGGCTATATAACGATTTCAAATGACATTATACTTTTTTATAAATGATATCTATTCCCGAATTAAAATTATAAGAATACATTGAACCTTAAGGTTCTAAATGAAGCCTCTTTGCTTCTTTTCAACCCTAATATCTTGCATAGAACCTATACATTCTACTAATTTCCATTTCAACCTACTTTGAATATCTATGTCTTATTAGCTTATTACAATCTATTTTAATGTTTCAGGTCCTACTGTAAAAATTAAAAACTTGTTTATAAAATAATTTTTTAAAAAGTTTCCTACTTACACATACACACGTAGTTATTCATTACTATTCGCTAAGTCATTTTCAACTTTGAAGAACACATCAGACGAAGTAATACATTTTTCAAGTCTGAATGAGTTCAAAATTTATAATATCACGAAGAGTTATAATATAGATAATAACCTTGCAATGCAATTTAGTGATATCAATGAGGACTATGAGACATTTTAACGAGGAAATAACATCATATGGCTTTAAATACTTACATAAAATTAATAAAACAAATTCGATAATGAAAAACTAATTTAATTTACACATAATCATTAAACACCTAATTCTGCCTAATTTCGCCATGTGTAAACAAAATGTATATTCTGTACTAAATAAGATGTAGTAGAGATGAACCGACGATGCTGGACGATCGTTAAAATTAAGCAATAAAAATGGAGGACAATACTTAGATGCAGGTGAATGCTTTGTGTTACCATAAGAAAATTAATGGTAACACAAAGAGAAATATGTTCTTCCTGTTTGTTTTTAGTCAAGACCTGCTTTACAAGGTTTATTAGATGTTCTATATACCTCCTACATTGTACCTTAAAATGGCAGAAATAAACATTTCTTTAGATGGGCTTTCGTGGTTATAGTATCACAGGATAAAAAATGCAAAAATGTCCATTAGGTATAAGGAATTAGGTTAAATGCAATTTAAACGAGTCAAATACTTCAATGTATTGAATAATGTACCAGCTTGTAGATAAATAATCAATATGAATATTTGGAATACTCAGGTTCAAGGTCATATTTCCATATTGTTTCGCTAATTCTATATAAAAATATTAATTAATTGAATTGAATTCGATCCGGCGATAATTCGAACCTCCTTGATCAACTTACTGGATTTCCGAATTTTTTTTTTCAAACTGATAGTTGTCAAAATCTTACAACAGTATGTATATTAATTATTCCAGCAACTTATTCATATTTGATCATATATTCCCTTATTTATATTTTAAATAACCCATCCATTCATATGAGTAAAAATTTTAAGT